TGGTTTAGTTGGGGGCGTTGGCTGCTGGTTGGGCTTTGTAAATACAGTTGCCACGTGATTCCAGATGAGGCCAGGCCAAGCCCACTGGGAGTCTGCGCGGGCCCTCCGGTCTAGCAGGGAGGAGCGCCCCGGGTTCTCACACCAGACGGAAAGCATTTGCTGCTGTTGCCATAGTCATTTCTCACACACACAAAACAGGTGTCACAGGAATCTAAGTGTTCGGAATTTAGAAGCAGCCAGAATTATGTACAGACAGCAAAAGAGAATGATTAGGCAAAAATGGGGTAGGAAGCCAGCGTGTCACTCAGGGACCTTTCTGTCTGTCACGTCTTGACTAAGTACAGAGTGCTTGTAACTTCACTCTTTCTGGCCTAAAACCGGGCAGCTAGGGCGTGACCTTCAGTAATAAGAACGAAGCTGGAAGAAAGATGGCACAGCCCGGTCCTCAGCGCGCTGTTTGCGTCACGTCGCTATTTCACGGCATGTCTTACACCTAAGACTGGAAATAATGACGTATCACAGCCATAGATTTTTTAGGTAAGGTTGTGTGATGGTGACCTCAACATCATCCTACAGAAAAGATGCTAGTGTCTCTGTCCAGAAGCCCCAGGGGACATCTGTTTTCTGAGAACTCTTCCGAGGTCACAGCCTTGGACCTGGTGCTCTTGGAGTCCGTTCTTACCACGTGGTTGTCCGCGGAGCACCCGCTTGTCCTGACACCGGTCTGTTTACAGAGGTCTCGGCTCACCAGATTCCACGACCTGAAGTCCATCGTGTGCAAGGCCTGCGTGAGGGAGGACAGGCGCATCGTGAGCCGGCAGCACTGGCGCCCGCACCACTCAGGTAGGCATTGTCCCCGTCTCACTCGGGTTAGCATCTGCCCCGGTCCCTGTCTCCACCGGGGCGGGCCCCGGCTGCTTGTGCGACTCGTCAGTATGGAGTGCCGTGAGGACGCTGAAAGGGAAAGAAACAAGTTAAAACGATGGCGCCACCCAGCAGTTTAAACTGTGGTCCCATCCGGAAAAGCATTAGAGGCTTCATCGGTTAGTCGCGTAATTTAGAAGGCTTCTGTAGGTGCAGTGCGGGCGTTGCCCGGATGGCGTTTGTCCACTGGACAGACGTTTGGATTTATTTTCCTTGTAATGAAAGTGTATTAGAGAAAGAAAGAATATACAGAAAGTAATTAAAAAGGAAACGTCAATAACCTTTAATTCCGTAACCCAAAGACAGCTGTTGACGGCTCGTGCGTTGGCGGTCTCTTCCTGCGCCTCATCTCGGGTGGTGCTGCTCTGCATTTTTGTGTCCTGCTTTTCTCTCGGCCCGGAGCTTGACTGTGGCTAGATAACAACGCCTCCCACATGCAGGCTCCCCCACCGCACACACCCACCTACCTAACCTTCCCCCTCTCCGAGCTCTGAGGCTGCTGCTGTTTTTCTCATACTACTGCTTTTAGGTGTCCTACTTCCTTAAAATAGAATACCGTAGTTTGCAGAGTTATAGAGCAAGGTGTAATCACACTTTAGGTAAGTGTGGCCAGCTTGTTTTCTGAAAACCTATCGCTTTGTTCTTTCGTCAGAAGTAACTATTAAGAGTTCTGAGAGCATTTAAAAGTTTGTGTTTCTTTAAGCAACATGACAGATGAAAAAATGTCTCATCAGTTGCATGCGTCTGTGTTGACCAGTGAAGTTGAACATCTTATTTATTAGCTTATTTTGTTTATGAGTTTATTTTGATTATTTCATGGCTTCATTTAGGTTTTATTCCTGTAACTATAGTAGCCCCATTTTTTTCTGGGCGGAATAATAGAACTCTCCCTATATTTCTACCCATCACACTGTCTTCAAGAGTTCTACTTGGCATCGGCAAACATCATTCTGAGGGCCTTTATGTCACGAGGTTAGGAAACCTTGGGACATGTCCAGCTCCTGCCAGGTGTCAGGTGTAGGACCTGACCACCGGACGGCATCGCGGGAGTAAGGGGACGTCTGGACAGTGAGGACGGTTACTCCCCGCACGCCCGGGGTGACAGGCTGCACCCTTGCCTTGTCCTTTTCTCCATCGGTCACCTCCCTCCTACCAGCTGCAGACAGGCAATTTCGAGACCCCAGAGCAAAAGTTTATTCTTTGCAGAATGAATGTGCAGCATTCCCACTATGCTACCTATTCCCTGGGTTGGTGGGCAGCCTGTCGCTCAAGCAGGCACCCTGCAGGCACAGTTCGGCAGGGCTTCGTCCCCACTGAGATTCTTAGAGCCGTGACAAGGAGGCCGGCCGGGTTCTGGCAGGTGGCGGAATGCAGGCTGATTTAAGCTGGCAGCCGTCACTGGGATTCCGACGCCTAAACCTCTTTCTGTGGGCGCCCCGGCTGGGCCCAGGAGGGCTGTGTGCGCAGCAGGTTTGTGTTGAAGGCCTTGGAGATGGCCCGTGCCTCACAGCTGTGTGCATTTCACGTTAATGCTGCGCGACGGTTCCTTCTCATCTCTACGGGGATCACTTTTTAGTGAAGAGAACTTACATTTGGGTGAATTTGGTGCTCTTGTCGTGTTATGCTAAGTAATGAGGAAAAGTATATTTCAAGAAGTGCGATGAGTCAATTTACACGGTTTGGAAACTGGCCCTTTTTTGTCCTCAGAGCCATCTTTTCTTCACAAACAACCTGAGGTTCTGTGCTTCACGCCCCTTTTTTTCAGAAGGCACATTCGGGCCCCATGCTGTCTCCCAACACGGAGCAGATTTTTGGTGGACCGGAGCCCCCAGGTCCCCAGCCCAGTGTTCACAGTCACACTGGGCCAAATCCACGCCAGGGAGGTGGGAGGGACGTGGCAGGTGTTCAGAGCTCAGCCCCACCACATCCCGGTCCACACAGCTAAGCTGCTGGGGAGCCGCCCACTCCCCATGGGGCCACACTGGCCTCTGTGAACCACAACTGCTAGTGGCACCTGGGAGACTGCCACCTGAGCCCATCATGAAGCCCTGGGCCCACCTCCTCGACTGTCAAGTGCTGGGGCGGGACCAGGAGCCTCCGTGTGCACCTGAGTTACATTTGGCAGGGAGTGGAGGGTGAGCATGGGTGTGGTCCCTGTGTCCAGGTACGACAGGGGCCAGGCTGGACTCCATATAGGAAGCACGAGGGCTAGGGTGGCAGTCACTGCGGCTTGGGGATTGTGCAGGTTTTTATGCCAAAAGTGGCACTTGAGTGAGGCCTGAGGGCTCAGTGGAATTTGAGTTTGTAGTGGACAAAGGGACATTGCACAAGAAGAAAGAGATTAAGCTACAGCAGAAAAGTCCAGGTTCTGAAAGACGTCAGTAGTGAGGTTCGTTAAACCTCAGGGGAGCAGGAGAAAAGGCTGGGAAGGTTTGCGGGAGCCAGACGAGGGAGACCAGCAAGTCCTGACGGTTTTCTCCAGGGCACCTCGGGGAGCCGTTGAAGGCTTTTGAAGTGACATGATCAGAAATATGCTTCTAGGAAAGTGACTCTGCTGACAGTGCAGGGCAGGTCGGGGATGAGGCAGGTCGGACACCCTGCCCGGGTCCACATGAGGGTTGCCAGAGAGCAGTGGCGGTCACTCCTGGGTGACCTCATGGGAGTAGCCAGGGAAGTCACACACGTGCACACCTGCACCCTGCACATGTGCATGCTACCTGTGCACACCTACATACCACGTGCTACACCTGCACTCCTACACACTGCATGCTACACTTGCACACCTGTATACCACATGCACATCTGCACACTACACATGCACACCTGCACCCTGCACAATATACTCACACACTGTACACACCAGGCCTTGCCACCTTCTCACAGGAATTGAGCCCCATGTGCCTGTGATATGTCCCCTGTCCACAGCCGGGCAGGAGTATGCAGCTAGAGGCAGTGGTCCAGGGCTGGGATCCGCCACTGGAACCCCTGTGTGTTTAGAATGCTGGCCCACGCCTGGGGCAGGCGCCTTCTTTCTTCGCGGGTCACCACGAAATGTCAAGGTAGTATAAAAAATACATTTAAGTATGACCTAGTCAGACCTTAAGTTCTAGTAGAGAAAAATGGCAGAGGAATCGAGGTTTACAAACCTAGGAGAGGGAATTTTAGAGTAAGAAAGTTGTGTGTCAGGTAAGTTTAGAGACTTGGGAAGAGAGGGCTCCTGGGTCTGGCGCACAAAGTCCCTGAACACTGGTGGCAGGTGTGCTGGTCAGGAAGCCTGCTGGTGGCCCGCGGTGTGGGGCTGGCCCCCCCAGGGAGGCAGAGCCAATCAGAACTGACCGAGGGCCCTGCCATGGAGGGGACCTAGCAAGATGCCCAGTGTCCTCATTCTGCCCACCTCCGGTCACTAGTGCAGGTCCCTGGGGCACAGGTTTAAATGCAGGCTCCGCCCAGCTGTCGCTACATCTGCACTTTTCCTGGGCTTTCCCTTCAATTCAGAGATCCCAGAATTTTGAAAACCGTCGACCCAGCACACCTGGCTGCAGCCCTACACGTAACACGTAGCTTGCTAACGTGCTGACCATCTGTCCCCACAGGGAGGTGGGAGAGGCAAGGATCCGGCTCCCACAGGACGAACTCCGGGCACAGCCGGTCTGGCCGCAGACAGCACTGGAGAGACCAGGGCCCAGGTAAGAGGGCGCCGCCCTGCCCCGCACACTGCCCACGCGGAGTTCTTTCGCTGAAAACCGCTTGTGTGTAAGTTAACAGGTAAATGTGCTGACACATCTGACTTACTCGCTCTGCGAAATAGAGACAGATCACCTCCGGGCTCCATACTAGCCTGTCTCTGCTCGTTGCCATTTCATTTCCTGTTAATTCATTAACCTGTTCAAGACTCAATTTTTATAATTTAATATCGTTTATTATTTTTACTTCTGCAAACTCTGAAACGTGTGGAGGTTCCACAGGTTGCTCCCGTCAGCACGTAAAGCACAGCAGGCCACGGGCGTCGCAGGCCGTCACTGACTGTGCGTGGCCGAATCGCGTGTGCGGCCTGCCGGGGCTGCATCTTCTCTTGATCTCGGTGGAACCTGCACCTTCGGCAGGTGCCGGGCCCACTGTGTGGTGCAGTGGGGACCGGAGCACACGACGTCTGTCCCTGGGGGAGAGCGGAGCTCCGTAGGCGTGCCTGTGCAGTGCTGCAGGCGTTCCTTCGAGGTAGCTTCCCCTAGAGGCTCTTCCCCAGCAAATCCTGCCACCAGCTGTCCGTGGAAGCTTCCAGAGGGTCTGACTGTAACATCCCACCCTCTCATGGTCTCCCGTGTCAGCATGAGGCTCACTTCCACTTCCTTGCTGACCGAGCTGTGCGACCGTTTGTACCGGTTCAGTATCACTGAGGTGGGCGGGCACCTTCTCCCGTTGGTTCACACGTATTTGAGATGCTTTTAACTTAGAAGGTGCTGCACTCTGTTGGACTAAACGAGAGCACGTAGGAGGTGTGTCCGTGCACCTGGAGCAGACAGTGACACGCAGTGCACAGTTGCTGCCACTGCCACGTGTGAGTGTCACAAAGCAGACGTTCTGGGGTAGTCCCCGTTTGACACCCTTGGTTCTCACATGCGTCTCCATTGCCGCATTGATTGAGGCCCTGTCAGTTGCTGTGCAAGCTGGGGATGCAGCGAGCAACAGGCCTGCCCCCCGGGGCTCGGCGGTGCGTGGGGTCCTGCAGCCGTGGACACAAGCGCTGCGTGCCCTCACCCGTCAGACCGTCTGCCTCTAGGTGGGCAGCAAAGTGGCTGGGGCGCTGGGGCACCCTCTGAGGGTGCAGGCCTTCCTCAGGCGAGCTGGGCGCAGGCATTTCTGAGAGAGATCAGCCTGCACAGAGCACGTGGCCTGAAGAGGTGAAGCTGACGTTGCCGCCCCTCCCTCTCTGCTGTTCTCAGTGGGGGGTCCCTGAGGAGGTCTCACAGGCGAGATACTTAGCAAGACTTGACGAGAGGGTGGGAGCCCCCAAGTCGCCTGCGGAAGGGCCATCTGTGGAGAGCGCGGCAGGTAGAGTGGAGCGGGCCGGCCTCAGGCTCTCGTGTCTCCTAATAGCTGGGATTTCCCCAGGTGCCACGCTCTGGTCCAGGTGATACCAGGAGAGTCACCCAAAGTGCTCAGAGCCTGCAGGCCTTCAGCACGAAGCTGTGATGACACAGTTTCAGCTGAGGTGCCAGCTATGGGATCAAAGTGTGTGATGGCCTTAGAGCAAAGTGGGATCCCTGCCCATCCACCCGGCTCCCCACCTGTTTAAGCAGCAGGACCCGAAGACCGTTCAGAGCTGTGCCCTCATCAGAGACGTGGGTCTGTGAGGACCTGCTCTGTGAGGGCAGGGCCACGTTAGAGTGTGGCCGTGGGGGTACAGGGCCGGAACCCCGACCTGCGGGAGACTGCATGGTAACTGAGTTAGGGTCTTGTTCACGCAGGAGGCATGCAGGGATGAGCAGGCTCCCACAGGGCACGACAGGGTGGCATGTGTGTTCCTCGCGGTTTGCCATAACCTGGAGAAATGCTCGTGGAAGCGCTGTCGGCCGTGCAAATGCTGTCTAGTGTCAGATGTGTCTGTGTAAGATGTGTGTTCACCGCCCCCACACACAGTCCTTTATTAGAACTGGAACATACCTTTTCAGGTTAGGTGACCCACTTTCTCTGTGTTAATTACTGGTCGAATCACGCCACCCTTCCTTGGCCGTCGCGGTCTTTGTGGGTTTTGTCCAGCTTTGAGCTGTCAGTCGTCACTGTGGGAGACGTTAGCGTGGTTTAACCAGCAGCAGTCACTATTTTCAGGATGGAGTTAACTAGCAAAATTCTCCGTGTTAGTGAAAAACTACAAGCACCTTAGACTGAGCGGGTTCAGTTACTGCCACCAAGCAGGCAGGGCCGTTTGGCTGCAGCCTCCTGTGAGCTCTTGCTGGGCCTGGCCAGACCGAGGTGTGAGCCCAGCCCCCCTGCAGTGGGACATCAAAGCTCCCTGCAGTGAGCTTTAAAATGCTAGGCAGCTGAGGCGAGAACGTTTTAACCTCTTCCTCCCCAGTGGTGAGAAATGATGTGTCACATTCCACAGGCAGTGGCTACAGACCCGCCAGTGATTTCGTCAGGTTCTCACTTCTGTGTGGTAGTTCTGTGGGGCCCGGGCTGTTGTAAAGCCTCTGATCATGGAATAACAAGGGCGGGCCTGGGACCTTCATTCCGGCCATCCTGTGGCCCTCTCTTGTCACCTAGCTGAGGCCTCACACTTTCTGAGAGGCATGGGCAGCAACGTGGGGGCTCACCCCGGCACTTGTGGGCACAAGCGTGACAGGCTGTGGGCAGGGCATCACCTCTGACCTGGAGGCTGTTCTCTCCTGACCCTCCCTGTGGCGGAAGCCAGCGGGCCAGCTGCACCCAGGGCTGGGGGCTCTGGGCTCAGTCGGAGGGAGAGCCGCATGTTGTCCCTTTGATGCTTGACACAGTGTCCCACTGAGCCACCTGTGTGGGGAGCCCCGTTGGCAGCGGTAACTAGATGCAGTGTGGACGGGTGGGGCCGGAGTTCGGGGGGGCAGTGCTGAACAACCCTATACCCCCATCCCCTGAGGAGTCCACCGCGGAGGAGAAAGTAACGCTGTGGCCCGCAGCTGGCCTCAGGCGCACGTGCTGTTGCACACACTTGGGACGTGCAGTTGTCTATGACTCACGTTGGTCCCGTGTCTCTGGTGCAGGAAGCAGGCAGCGCGAGCCGGACCGGTGGAGAAGACACTCGCCGTCCTCCGGGTAAGTCCCCTGCTCAGTCCCCACGGGGAGCGAGGCCGTCACACATGGACCTTTTATGTGAGCGCAGACCTTGAAGGATTGGCTGCTGAGTCCTGCTGACGCGGAGCCAGCGGAGCCAGTTAACCCGGTTACAGGACGAGCCCGCCGCCTCCGGAAAGGACGTGGGGGGAGATGAGGGTCTGACCGGGAGCCCTTAGCACCCGCCTTCGGGGCAGAGTCCTCACCTGCCGCAGAGGGGTGGCCCGCGCACTCAGTGACGCCCTCATGGTGACGGCTTCTCGGGTCACGTCTGACCCCGTGCCATGGACGGTCTTCATTTGGCCTCTGCGTACATGAGGGTGGCTGCGCCTTCTGAGCTGAGTCCTGCTGCGTCCTGCTGCTTCTAAGGGGACACTGGGCTGTGAGGCCCAGCAGCTGCTGTTCCAAGAGTTGTTTTGTCATTACGAGTTCTCTCCGGAAGTCCAGTTTCCGCCGATGTCCTCTCTCGGTCTCGGACGTTTGTGCGGGAAGAGAGGGCGCGCCTCTTTCTCCCTCCCTGGGCCGGGCTCACGCTCACGGCTGTTCCGGTCACGTCACCCCACTCATCTTCTCCCCGCCGTGCTCCGGCTCAGGCTTTCGGTGCGGTGTGTTCGCGGACGGGCCTGGGTCTCAGCAGACGACAGCAGGCGTCAGACAGGGCGCCTGTAGCTTGTGAGGCTCTGGGCAGTGGGCGCTTGTTGCTCTTTATCTGTGAGCGCTGAGATCTTATTGTTTAAAAACATTCAAAATGAATCCAAGATGAGTACTTTTTTCTGAAAGAATTTTCAGATAACCCAAGAATTGAAATTTTAGCCCAATAACCTCGGGGTGCCGGCGATGGAAAGGAATCAGATTATAAGTTAACGGGGCTCCATGAGGAGCTGCTGCCCCAGCCGGCAAGCCGGTGCTGACCAGCACGCTCCCTCCGGCCACCCTCTAGTTCGAGGTCCCCAGCTCTCAGAAGTGCTCACTCACGTCCCCCAGAAGACTGGTTCTTCTCCACGCGAGATCGGCCCTGAGCATATCAGTGTCTGCGCGCGACAGGCCACCCTACCTCATAGCTCAGCTCAGGAGCACCGCGCTCCAGCTTCGTCCTGCCTAAAACCCCATCCAGCATTTACCAAAGGGTCATCGCCTCCGATATCCAAATCCGTTCGTGCTGAAATATCCTCGTCGCTTCCTGGGTTCCTTAAGGGCGTTTGCGGATCTCATCACTTCTTTCACGAGTCTTATAAGACCCACCGCCTTATTTCCCAGCTTTGGAAATAGATTTTTTTTCATTCCACTTAGGAATATTTTCTATCTAAATATTAACATTCTTTTCCTTTCATTTCTGCTAATTTGGGACCACTGCTGCTTCTAAAAATTTTATTTCTTTGCAACTTATTTGTACAGCTTTGAAATAAATTTCTCATCTTTAGACAAGAAATTTCCCCATGAAAATCATTTCCCTTCATAATATCTAAGTTCCAGCTTGGCAGCAAGACATTTGTGTTCAGTTAGCGAGCTTAGCTCTGCCACTGAGTTGGTATAATCTTTTTTACATTTGAAAAATCAACGCAGTGAATTTTTTGATGAGTTATCTCTATAGTCAGGTGTTCTGATGAAATTTCCGTATATCAGTTTTAAAATGAAAATAAAACAACACATTTATTACTTAAAATTAAATAGGATGTCACATTTCTTTTATCATTTGAAAGACATTTCACCATCCAGTATATTAGGAACTTTGTGAACCAAAACGGTATTAAGTGTTGTCACGTGCTTTTTCTGCATGTATTGAGATGATGACACAGCT